TGATAGAGTTTTGTGCTTTTGTAACACTTTTCATACAATTTACTATGTTCATGCAAGGTTTAAAAAATGAGGTTGATTTGATTGTCAAAATGCGCATTCAAATGACGTCTGTGTGCGAGGTCGAGTCGAACCTTTATTTACTACATTTGCATGAAATTCCAATTGTCCTTTTATCCAAGTGTTCAGATCGGACGAGTCTTGCTATATAATGGCTTCAACAGTTGAGACATTCTATGATTTGAACCCACATAGCAATTGAAAACTAACGGAACCCAAGATAAATTATATCAAACCCAAGAAAACAAAGAATCGACATTTGGAAAGCTCAACTCGATAAATTATTGAACCAAAGAATCAAGACAATCGCAAATAATATATTGACCCTATGATCACGAAACTTACAAACCTTACTTAAATTGTAGAACGCTACAAGAAATTAATCCTTGATAAATTCATAAATTAATTCAATGAAGAATGACTAGAAACCAAAAAGCCTTGCAATAATAATCTTTCAAAATTGTCAGTTTTACAATGAAAAGAATGAGTTCTATTTATAGGAAATCATAGAAACATGGTTGAAATGAAAATAAAGTCAAAAAATACCAACATGAAACTTGTTCTTTTGCTTGTAGTGATCAATGTTTCATTTAGAACAAGTTTCATTCACCATAACTTAAACAAGTAATCTCGTAGCTTCTTTGACCTTCTTTGCTCGTGACCTACTCATTGGTTCTTCTTCCACGATCAACATATCCTTGTCCTTACTAGCTTTCGTAACCCACTAGGCATGTCCTTTAGAAACATGTCTTTGAATTTCAGTAATAAAGAAGTAGTAAAACTAGGGATGGGTATGTTATCTTCTTCAAAATTGAGGAGTGATACCTTATAAACCAATAAGATCATGGGTCGGTTCTCAACTACTACTCTCTTCAACTTACTCCCTTTTGTAAAGAAATTCACTTTTGACTTTTCTCTCCTCTCATAAAACTCATTTTCTTTATTTCCTTGTGGCTTTATTCTTTTTCTCAGAATTAGTCACCTTACTTTTTTTCTCTCTTATTGTCTTGTTGTAAAAGATCAATCTCGCTTCCCTTTTCTCTTCTTTTCTTCCTCACTTTTCAATTTGATTTGCTCTTCATACACTTGTGCTTGTGTTAATTGCGCAAAAGTAATAGATTTCTCATCCTTAGTAAAGCTGTACATATTTTTGTACCTATCATGCACACCTTCCTATCATACTACCATGGTCCCCAACAATATGTGCCCGACATGTATAAGAATTACATCACACATCAACTCCCAATTGAGAAACTTATGAACACTTATCTATTCACCTTAACCTTTCTACATTCATTCAACCATTGTAATTTGTAAGGCTTGGGACATTTTATTATGGTTAATCCCAATTTCTCAACATATGTAGTGCTAGTCACATTAGTTTAATTACCTCCATCAATAATCATACTACATATCTTGTTGACATGACATCTCATATGAAATATGTTCTTCATTTATTGCTCCAAGTCATTCACTTTAATTTGAGCATTAGGAGCTCGCCTTGTGACCAAAAGCTCTTCCACCGCATACTCCACTTTTCACCATTACTAGCATCCACCAATTTCGGAATGTCTTCATAATCACCCTTGCTATCACTCACCATTTCCCCATTATCTCATAGATTGACTGCACTTTTGTTTGGACATTGAGACGCAATGTATCATAATCCTAAGCACCTAAAACATTTGATATCCGAATTTCTAAAGGGTTGGGAATCCGCCTTGAGTGTAGTTTTGCTAGCAACTTCCTTTCTTCCCTTTATTAGCTTAGTCCTAACTTTCGAAACAACCCCATCACCTTTGTTGTTGTTCCACTCGGATTCCACGCAGAGTTAGAATCTAAAAAACTTGATGGGTATTTAGCTACTCCCTTCCTCTTCAACCACCTATCTACCTTTATAACAACATGTAGTATGTCCTTTAACTCTACGTAATATTGTAGTTCCACCACATTAACTATCTCCCTGTTCAAACCATTCAAAACTCAGGTCATGATGGCCTCCCGATCTTTCTCAACATTCACTCTAATTATGGCAATCTCCATCTTCTTGTAATAATCCTTCACACTTCTAGATCCCTGTTAAAGGCCTTGTAACTTTTGATAAAGATCCATTTAGCAATGATTAGGGATGAACCTCTTCCTTGTGATAGCCTTCAATTTCTCCCATGTTTCAATAGGTCACTCATGATTTCTTCTCCTAGATGTTATTATTTGATCCAACCAAATGATAGCATAATTACTGAACTCAATGACCGCAAGTTTTACCTTTTTTCCACTGAGTAGTCATGGCAGTCAATTATAAGATGTATCTTCTTTTTCCACTACAAATATGTCCCTGGATTGCTCTTGCCCTTGAATGTTGAAATTGTCATTTTAATATTGTTCATATTCCTATCAACTCCATCCCATCATAATCTTTAGGCCTTCTATCATGTCTTTCTCCTATATTCCACATCGTTCTTGTTTCAGCCTTTACTAATGTATCATCACCAATTTTCTACCCATTTCATTTTCACCACCAATATAAACTCTGGGCTCCCGCCTAAAATGCCTCATCGCGTTAATAACTCCTCTAAATTTTTCCCTACGTAAATTAGCAAGTAATGTGTCTTGCCTCTCCATCCACGCCTCTTGCCAATCCATTTGATCTCCATATCTCTAAACAACCTCTCAAACCGCTGTATCATCTCTTCCATCATTATGACATGATTATTCTTCCCACTTGAAGTGAAATAGTCTGTGTCATACATACTAAATCTAGAATAATATCTGTCTTGCGCATGTACACTCCTATATCCTCGCAACTTAGCTCTTTCCTTCTATTAGTCTCACCACTCTGCCTTTTTTTACTCAATGCTTCCTTGCAAGCTGTTCAAGAACTAATTCGATCTTCATCAAATTTCAATCTTTGTGGAGTTCAGATAAAGAATTAAGTAAAAAAAAAAAAAAAATTAACTCTAGAATAACCCAAGAAGTAGGAGTTGGTACTCGAATGGAACACTAAGGATAATTTAAGAGGGCATTTCTTGAAGTCGAATTGGACCTTTTTTTTTACTCTCCTATTTTAATAATGTCTACACTTTTTTTTTTCAAATTTCAATTTTTTTAAATTAAACGCTGGAGAATTCAACAAAGAGTCAAAAAATTCGAAAAGGAATTTATTTGGGCACTAATTTAGCACACAAATAATTTATAGACTTGTTTGGAACTTTAGTAGGATTGAATGACTCAAAGATGAAGAACACAAAGAACTATGATGAAAACTTAAACAAAAAGTAAATAATATAATCTTGATTTTTAGACCCAAGCTCTGATACCAAATAATGTGAACTCATGTAGTAATTGAAGACTACGGAATCCATGACAAATAAAATCAACTGAAGAAAACTAAGAATCAATGTTTGGAAAGCTCAACCCGATAAAATATTAAACAAAAGAACCAAGACAATCGGAAATAATATCTTGACCAACGATCACAAAACTTATGAAGTTTACTTGAATTGTTAAACGCCACAAGAAATTAATCCTTGAAAAGTTCGAAAATTAATTAATGAAAAATGAATAAAAAGCCTCGCATTAATAATCTCTCAAAATTGACTATTTTCCAATGAAAAGAATAGGTCATATTTATAAGGAACTCATAAAAACCTTAGTTAAAGAAGAGATAAGTCTAAAAATACCAAAAGATACAAAAAATAGAATTTTTAACACAAAAAGGAGACTACGCGAAATTTGAAAAATTCACATTCGAGAATTGTACTATGTGGCTAGATAGTACTGATGAATGCGGTCACATAGGCCACTTAAATTCTTCAACTGACTTAGCATATAAAGGCATGCTGTTGAATGCATTGTATAACTATGTAGTCGCATAGTTAACTTGATAAGCTCCTCAGTCTATTGCTTGAATCAAGTTGATCCATCTTGTTTCTTCTTCCGAGCGTAACACCAAATTTGTCCCTTTGCTTATTGTGATCGATGTTTCCGGAGCTTAAACAAATTATTACATGGCTTCTTTTGACTTTCTTTGCTCGTGACCTAATCATTGATCCTTCCTTTACCATCAATGGATCATTTTTCTTGCTAGCTTTCATACCATGGATCTCATCATGTTATGCTTTAATTGGATCTCGACAACCTTCTAGTAGGCACAGCATATAACATGGCTCTTTTAAGGCTGGTGTGAAGCCTTCATAGAGCCTTTTTGGAGCTAATGGAGCGCTAGTGAATAGTAATTATTATAATGCGTAACAGTATTTATTAAATTGGACTATTATACCACTATCCAAGTATCCACAACCATTCATGCTACATAATAAGTAGTCATTCCCCTTTGTTATCTTATTTATTCGTGTGTGGGGGAAGTAAATTGCATTACCAAGCTCCTGTTAAATTTATTCTTTCATGTACGCATAATATGTAGGGATAATTGTAGCAACGGTCCCAAACCTTTAACTTTTTTAAATACTTTATTTTAACCTTCACTTTGTGTCACTCATATTTCCTAACCTTTTAAAAATTAACTCCTTTGGTTCAAATGGATCATTTATGTTAATTTTACTGCTAATTAACCCAATAAATTTACTTTGATTAATTAAAAAATGGTAAAATAGTAACTTTGAATTAAAATTGAATAACAAAAAATTAAAACCGTGATTGGTTTGATTTGATTTTTTTTTTTTCAATTTTAATTCAAGTTACATTTTAACTTTTTTGAATTAGTCAAAGTCAATTTATTGGGTTGATTAACAATCAAACTAACAGAAATCCTACACTTGGACATCAAGTGCTAATTTTTACAAGGTTTGAGATCATGAATAGTACAAAGTAAAGGTTAAAGTAAAGTCTACAAAAAATGAAGGATTTGAGACCGCTGGTGCAATTATCCTAATATGTAGTCCCCACCGTCTATTGATCATTTTGTATTTGAATAAATAAATACACTTTAAAAAATAAATAAATAAAATTGTCCCCACGCCAGCACCGCTGCTGCCGATATTAATTTACCCCGCCAACACAAAAGCTTACCTAAAAATAACCAAAAACAGAGAGAGAAGAATGTGCTGCAACCATGGCGTAACATTCCCCAGAAGCGACCGTTTTCGCTTCTCCTTCTTCATTCCATCAATTGGAATCCGATCCGACCCACTTCCCTCTTCAATCTCCTTCCGATCCAGACCCGGGCCCGCTTTCAGACCACTGAAATCCAACAACAGTGACACCATTTCACTGCCTTCTGACTGCCCGGCCAGCTTCTACGATCTTCTGGGCATATCCGAATCTGGGACCCAACTGGAGATCAAAAAAGCTTACAAACAGCTGGCACGGAAGTACCACCCTGACGTTTCGCCTCCGGATAGGGTCGAGGAGCATACTGAGAGGTTTATTCGGGTCCAGGAGGCCTATGAAACGCTGTCGGATCCAAGGAGGAGAGCTTTGTATGATCGAGACATGGCTAAGGGCCTTCACCTTGCGTTTTCTGCCCGTGGCCATTACAAATTCGACGAGGTAAGACTTTTGTCTTTTCTTTTTCCAAACTACCCATATTGATTGTTCTGCGTGGTAGTAAACAAACGAGGCTTTTATTTTTTTTCCTCGATTAATTTTATTCATTCATTTGAAGTGGAATTAAACATCAAGGGATGTATATTAAGTTTGTAAATCATTGATCTTTTTATGACAAAATGGGGGAAATTAAACAAAGTGTGCGGAGGCTTTGCATAAATTTTTGGTTTTGCCTATGAACGAAAGTCGAGTATCAGAATACATTGGATTTAGTCAATTTTGTTCTGAAAATATTTTCAAGTAATTTACATCCAAAAGGAGGCTTTAGAAAATATCAAATAATCAAGGGCTAAAAAATTTAGGCAGGTACTGAAATTGGATATTTGTAAAAAGTTCATTTATGCATGAATTGAGTGGAAATTTGTGTTTAGAGCACTCTTTAGAATTCTTTGGAAGGTTAAAGATAATCCCAAAGGCTAATAGCCTCTTGGAACTAACATGGTCACACTCCAATAGAGGTCAGCATTCCCAAGTTCAGATTTTTTCATCTCTTGTGAATTCGGATCCAAGCTGGATGACACACTGGATTATCGACGACAAATCCATGGGAAAAAGTATGAATAGAAGAACATTACAGTTGTCTGTTTATCGCCAACCTGTCAAGGTTGGCTATAAACATTTGGTTTAGTAAAATATTGAAGGAATCAAATCCAATACAGGTTGGCGATAAACATTTGGTTTAGTAAAATATTGAAGGAATCAAATCCAATCTAGTTGAAAATTTTGTGTCGAATATAGGAAAAGTGTGATTTGACCAAAACAGTTAAGTTGAAGTTGTACTGAAATTTAGAAACAAATATTTGATAAACCCTGTTGAGTTGGTGTAGTTATATGACAAAGATGACTTTTGTGTTTCCATATGCTTTTTTCGTGTTTCCATATTTCTTTGTGATTAGATTGTGTATTCATGTAGAAAAGTGGATATGATTAGGCCGACTGTTTTTGTAAGATAAGTGAATGCCTGCAATTTTGTATTTCAACTGTGTATCGTATTTAGATTTTGTTGGATAAGATGTCGATATGTTAATTTTGATTTTGAGGCTGCTGTCAGGCATTGAATTATTATGTATCTTATGGCTCTTCTTTTATGCAAGCAGCAAATGGAAGAGAAAAGTGAATGGAAGAGTCGTTGGCAATCTCAAGTATCAGAGCTGAAGAAAAGAAGCACTTATAAGAACTCCGGTGATAACAATTCGTGGGGGGCTCGAATGCGCAGGCAAAGGAATCAATCATCATCTTAAATTAGTAATAAACCTTATTAATTATGAATGTATATATAGTACTTGTTTTCTGGGTTTATGTAAGAGAGAAGTACTTTGTAGTAAGCATTAGGCTCACATAAGATATACTCGTAAGCGTAATGGTACAAGACTCCACGGTTATACGCAGAGACAATAGTTGGCTATACTGATTTGGCATACCCATTTGGAAGGGCTTTCGCTTGACAGATTAAATGTATGGCGGGTTTGCAGGCTTATGGACAAAGTCTTTTGGCACCTAGACGAATTGAGTTGTGTCCCTGATCAACCCATATGAATTGTTTATTATTATTATTATGATTTTGTCTTCGTTAGATGAATTTGTGAAATGATAGAATCCATAAAAATTATCCAACAGAATTGGGAAGGAATTTCAGGGGCCCCGTGTTGTGTAGTCAGCATCCAAAGGACGTTTTCTGCATATAAATTAAAGGGAAGCCTCAGCCAGTGTGTCCTTTGCCTGGGTAGACAGCAGGCTTCATCTTTATCAAGATCATGGCTATAAAATATGCCTGTTGGGTTTCGATCTTTTTTCGGGTTTGGCTTTTGCTGCATTGCCTCTAGATTTTTTTAAAGATTGTAGGGGGACCGAAGCTAGCAAACTAAACTATCAGAAACGAGGGTATAAATAACAAGAAGTTAGGCATGAAAGCCAAACGGAGTGACAGAGGGTTAGGGGGGCAGTGCCAATTCATTTTATAACTTAAGAGGGCAGTGAGCTAACTTTCATTCCTTTGGCAAGGTAACACGGGAACAGAATAATCCCCC